ATGGACCTGCAGGACAAAGTACCTGAGGCCCTAAGATAAAGAAGTCATGGTTCTGACCTGGTGTCTGGCCTAGCACTGACAACTAGGTAAAAGAATAGGCCCCCGATTTTCCAGTCTTCTCCTAAGAATGCAGCAAGGTACCATCCACTTTATCAATGTATTCCCTGAATGAACTGGTTTGTGATTACCTTTGTTCTCTGCCCAAAGGGTCCTTGCAGGTCCTTGTTCTTCAGAACACGCCTTCAAATAACTCGAATCTGTGTTCCCAGGCCTAAGCTACTTATATTTGGTTCAGAATAATCTATCTTCTTTTTCTTTAAAGCAGAATTGATCTTTTGCATTGACACAGGTGTGAAGAGTCTGAAAGTAAGTAGGTGCAGTTTTCTGCTATCAGGAGGGAGATGAGGCAAGAAAGTTCAGTTATGGAGAAGTGAATAGAGTTGCACGTTGTACAACTGAATGTGCAGGTTGCAAAATATGACCTCGAGTCTAGCCTGCTAATTTCCACTCAGGCCATCAGGCATGGAATTGGAAGTGCTGGACATTGATTTCATAGGTCAGAGGGGACATCAATTATTGAAGTACAATTCCTTACTCTCCAGAATCTATGAATGTGGGACCCTGAAAAGTGATTAAAAGGCAAACCAGGAAGAAATGTGAGTCTGTGAATTCTCAGAAGTTAAAGGTTCGGCTCAGCAGGAGAAGAAGGACTACCACATTAACCCCTTCCTCAATGGCAAGTAATCATTTAGCAGATTTCCCCACAGTAGGAAAAAGCACCTCCAGGGTTATAGTGGGAATAAGTGGGCAGTGACGTAACCTGGCGGTTAACAGCTCTGTGGGCACACAGCTTTGCAAAGACTACTAGAGGCATGTGTTGCTGCCTGTCCATGTGCAGGTCAGGTGGCACCCAAACACAGAGCACTTGTCGGCCATCACCCACCTGACTCTGTGCACTACCGTGTGGTGCTGGCTGGCTCCCATCACTGCAGAAATGACCCCTCACTGCAGGGCCAGGTGTGGCAGCAGGGTTGGCTCTGGCCCTGTGAGCTCTGTATTCCGCACTCCCCTGCGCAGTCTGGGCTGAAAGGAGCTCCTTGTGGTCTGTAGTATCGGGGTGCACAAGGTAAATCCCCTGGGTTCCCATTGGAACATGTAGCTTGGGATTTTGTAACAAAGACCCACAGCCTGCAAGGTTTCCATCGGGTGTGGGCAGGGCTGGTTTCTCCTAGGGTCTATCTCCTTGGCTTGCAGATGATTGTCTTCAAAAGATCTTTCCTGGTTCATGACCACTCCCAGTGTCTGTCTTTCTTTTCTTCTTCTTTTTGGATACTGCGGATTTAACTCAGGGGTGCTTTATTGCTGAACCACATCTCTAACCCTTTTTATTTTTTTTTTTTTTTGAGACAGGGTCTTACATTGCTTAAGGACTCATTAAATTGCTGATGCTGGCCTTGAACTTGTGATCCTCCAGCCTCAGCCTCCTGAGTCACTGGCTTGACAGGTATCCTGTCAGGCTCCCAGTGACTTTCGGTGTGTGCAAGTTCCCTCTTCTTATAAGGACATCAGTCATCTTAAATTAGGGTTGGCCCTAACAACCCCAATTTAACTTAACTACCTCTTTAAAGGTTCTACCTCCATCTTCTCCTTGTATCCGATTCTCTAGCTTCCCCGAGTTGCTCTGAAACCTAATCTTATTCTGGTTTGTTTCAAGGACTGCTACTGGACCCTGCACATGCCCAGAAGGCATGGAATGACTCCAGCAGTGCTTGCAAAGCTCTGTGCCCATAGAGCTGTTAAAAAGTTCTCCACCAGGTTACTTCACTATTCATTCTGGGGTCAGAACTTCAGCGTGTGGATTTTGTGGGAGGGGCACAGTTCAGCCCATAATATCAATTTTCTACAGTAAAGTTAACACTGGACAGAATTGTCCTGGGACTGCTTCTAGGGCTTAGATGAGATGAAATAAACCAAAAATTTATTCAGTGTCCAAGTCAGCTCTGGAGAATAAGATCAGATTTCAGAACAACTGGGGAAGCTAGAGAAACGGATAGAAGAAAACTCTGCCTGAGATATTGCTTATTTAGCCTTTGCTGTGTTCCAGAGAAGACACCAGGGGAGGGCCTCCTAGGACAATAAGGACATGCAGTCCATCTTGATGCCCCCCACCCTCCCTCTGTCACCCCTGGCCTACACACTGTGCATGTGATCTCCTGAGGACCAGAGCACCCACCAGGCTGTGGGTGGGAAGTGTCAGCAGAGCTCAGGACTCTGAGGTTTGTCCTGCAAGATGCAACGTGCAGAGGACATCTAAGGCACAGTGTGAAGGATCCTCATTAAGGCAGGAGAGATTTGCATTATCTGTTAGAAAAAGATGATGTTGTTTCGATGACTAACAAATTTATTAAGTACCTATTATGTGACAAGCAACATGCTGATCTTGGAGGTCAGTCACATTGGTGCTTGAGTGACCAGCCTTTTTTGTTTTTTGGTACTGGGGATTGAACCCAGAGGCTCTACCACTGAGCTACACCCCTACCCCCGCCCCCTTTTTTAAATAAAGATCTTTTTATGTCTTTGTTTATTTTTATTACTGTTATATTTATTATAGTAATATTGTTTATTAGTTTTTTATGGTGTTGAAGATTGAACCCAGTGCCTCACATGTGTTAGGCAAGTGCTCTACCACTGAGTCACAACCCCAGTCCCCCTTTTAACTTTCTATTTTGAGGTAGGGCCTTGCTAAGTTGCTCAAGCTGGCCTCGAACTTGGGATCCTTCTTCCTCAGGCTTCCCCGTTGCTGAGTGCCAAATACATGTATATTCCCTCATATAATAGCTACAGAGACCACTTTATAGTTGAGAAAAGGGGCTTCGAGGGCTGGGGATGTGGCTGGGCTGGGGATGTGGCTCAAGCGGTAGCGTGCTTGCCTGGCATGCTTGCGGCCTGGGTTCGATCCTCAGCACCACATACAATAAAGATGTTGTGTCTGCCGAAAACTAAAAAAAAAAAAAAATTAAAATTCTCTCTCTC